ATATTAAAAGTTCCTGAAACCAGAACTATGCGTACGTAAGAAGTACGTCTGATCGTAAACTAAGCCTCCATTGTTATTCATAACTACTGATTATATCACCGTATTCATTTGCACACCTCTTCAACTATTTATTACTGGTACAATCACATTGTACCAGTTAAAAATTCCCTTAAAATATTCAAAAATAAAAAATAATTTAGCAAACAATCGTTTTCATTAACTTCATCATCACACTATACAGTTATTAGTCCATAATTTTAATATTTTATAAAGTCCAAAAATAAGGCATGGCATTAATGAACTTGACAATGTAATGTGTTAACAATGGTTAACGTTTACATCTGTAACGATATATATGTTTACAAATTAAAAAGGTCATTCACTAAAGATCGGGATGATTTGCAGTAAAGTGTTCAGTCACAGTAAGTGACTAAGCATAATAGGAAAATTGAAAATGCAAAAAAATTGGTGTCAATGAAATACATAGTACAAGAATTGAATCTTGTAAATTGACATAATAATAATAATAATAATAATAATAATAATAATAATAAGGAAATTAAATAATAATAACATTGTAAATGTCCGTTGATACAGTTGACCTTATTCATATTTATACGTTTAAAGTCGATAGATATTTGTTGACTCAGTCCGACGACGTAGGCTTGTTCATTTACACTTCATGAAACTAATACTTCAAATGCTTGTCAAAAATGGTTACATTCATAATGTCTAGATAATTCAGGTTTCATATTACGGCGGTTGACAATATTCACACATGACTGATTAAACACACACTAGTTTTTATAACAACCGAAAAATTAATTTTAAAATACAGAACTACAAATAATTTACAAGTGAAAATAATGAACCGTGTTTCAATGGATTTCCAAATTAACCGCATTGAAATCTAACGTTGTCTAATTCTCATTATGAATGACCATTTACAAAATAATCGTTTACTAAATATTAAGTGTCTATTTCGGAAAATTTATTACTACTTTCATATACTGTCTAAGTCAGTTCATTAAATGATGGTCTATGATTGCTTCACCTGAATTATACATATTGCAACCAGTAAGTTATCATAATGATTTATTGATATGTTGATTTCTTTTTCCCATTAACACACCATGTGTTACAAAAAAACCTGTGCACACACTTTGGTGATAATTTGTTTATTAATTTGGTATTAAATATTTGACTACTGACCTCATTCAGTAATCCTTATTATCAAATATTCAAACCGGTTTTCGGTGGCTTTTTCCCAAAAACTTTCTTTTACTGAGATACATATAATTATTCGTGTTCAGATAATTAACGACTTCAATTCAAGGTATACTTGATCGGAAAACAAAAATTGATCCCAATACACATTCACTAACAGTAGGATTGCACGGTAATGCAATTAAGTTGGTGTCTTTTTCTTCAAAAGTCTAAATTTTTTTCAAGACTAAGATTACACAAAAAGGATTATTCATTATCATTAAATTTCAAATGTCAAAAATGAAAATTCTGACATCCAATCACAGCTCCAGATGCGATTTCGATTTCAACTAATCAGATTACAAAGATGAACCGTTTACGACCAATCAAAAAATTATTAAAGATAACACAATGTTTGTTCATTATCACTTGAGCACACACTTGCAAAACAAGTCCACCAATCAACGATACCTAAATTTTTCATTCACACCCCACAATTTTTTTAAAAGGGGTGGTAGGGAATCATATAGGCCGGTCACTTAATGTCAACCGTATAAAAACAGTCAAGATTGGTAAGAGAATAAATAACAAGGTCGGAATGTGACTCAAGTAGAATGAATAGAATGAGCTGTCCGAAAGCTAAAATAAGGTATATGGGCTTAACATAATAACCGACACTACAGGCTTGCCTTGTGACACAGTTGTATCTTCTGGATGGTGGCTTCCGTAGTTCTCTAAGTTTCTACCCCATACAGTAGAACTGTCTTGACATTTATGTTGGAAATTCTGACCTTGGTTTTGGTTGACAGTTGTTTTAAATTCCAAATGTTCTTCAGTTGTAGATGTGCTGTTCTCGCCTTGCCGATCAGCGCCTTCACATCTGAATCTAATCCACCGTGCTCATCAATGATGCTGCCCAGATATGTAACGGTTTTCACATCGTCCAAAGCATCACCGTCAAGTATGATTCGATTGGTGCGTGCTGTGTTGTATCGGAGAATCTTGCTTTTACCTTCGTGTATATTGAAACCTACTAATGCTACACAGGTCGCCTTCTCCTCCATCTGTTGTTGCGTGTGCGATAGAAGAGCCAGATCATCTGCGAAGTCTAGATCGTCCAGCTGCATCCTAGCTGTACAATGTATCCCGTGCTTCCCCCAAGATGTTGACGTCTTTATAATCCAGTCGACCATCAGGAGAAAGAAAAAGGGTGAGAGTAAGCAATTTTGCCTGAATTCGGTCTTCGAACGTGTCTGTCAGCTATCCACCATGCACGATTTTGCAGCTTAATCCATCAAAGAAATTCCGTATGATATTGACTATCTTCTTAGGCACGTCATAGTTTCGAAGAAGCCTTGTCTACGCTATCAAATGCTTTCTCGTATTCAATGATGTTGATGCAGAGTGATGAATCCCATTCAACTGGTTTGTGCCACAGTGATCCGTATTGTTTCGATTTGGTCGGCACACGATCAATCCTTATGGAATCCAGCCAGTTGGTCTCGAAGTTGGACATCTACGGAGTCATTCATTCTGTTTAATAACACCCTGTTGAAGACTTTCCTAGTATTGAGAGAAGAGTGATGCCACTGTAGTTCTCACAGATGCTGAGATCGCCTTTCTTTGGAATCCTGATCAGGTGTCCTTCTTTCCAGTCTGTTGGTACTTGTTCTTCATCTCAAATCTTACTTAAGAGAATGTGGAGTATCCTTGGAGTTAATGCTACATCTGCTTTCAGTGCCTCTGTTGGAATGTTGTCGGGTCACTCTTGATTTTTCTGATGGCCATGCTGATCTGGTGGTCCAACATAGATTTGGAGGTCCATGGGTGCTACTTAAATGTTGGTGGATTCAGTGGAGCTGGTCGATTCAAGAGTTCTTTGAAGTATTGTACTCACCTGTTTCGCTGTTTTTTCAAGGTTGCTTATTACTTCGCCTTCTTTGTTTTTCACTGGCCGCCCTGGTTTATGTTAATTTCCAGCGAGCTTCTTTGTTGTGTCATATAAATGTCTCATGTTTCCTTCTCTTGCAGCCTTTTCCGCCGTCATTGTTAAATCTTCCATATATTTACGTTTGTCAGTTCTAATGCTCCTCATCACTTGCTTGTTTGCTCCTGTGTATTCAGCTTGCGCCTTGGCTTTCTCCGCTCTTGTTCGGTTGATATTGATAGTTGCCTTCTTGTTCCTCATTTCTTAAGTCTTATCCAGGGGATCAACAATGGTTCGTTCCTTGTGATCGTGCTTCTTGTGGCCCAGAACCTCATGACATGTTTAAGTAATTGCCTCCTTTATCTCTTTCCAATTGTTCTCTATGGAGCATGTTACTGAGGTCTGTCTTGGATTCCTTGAGTCAGTTAGCATTCTGAAGAAAAGCCGTATTAAACTTTTGTGATGTTGTCCGCCCCATCGTCCAGTGCTTCGTGAGAAGAGAAGCTAAAGAACGCGCAGTAGAGAAGACGATTGAGTCAACTCAAATTTAGCCAAGCGTGAATCGATATTTATGGTTGAACAAGAATAAGTTACAAAGATGTTATGAATAGGATAAGAAGTGCACACACATACGCTCATATAAAAGTTGATAAGTGCATAATTGGCTAAGTCAAAATGTTACTCAGGAAGAATGAAAATAAACTGATCTGTCCGAAAGCTAGAATAAGCTGTGTGGGTTTAACTTAGCAACCGACACTATAAGTATATGTATTCAGAAACCGGTTATTTTATTGTAGGCCATCATTTGTTCGTCTTAATAACACTGGCAAATGATATTGCATCAAAAGTGGCATCGAGTTTGTTAGTGTAGTAATCTAATATTGTTATTTATGAAAACAAACGGTAATATTAAAAATACTACCGTTCATTCAAAAAAATTCTACAAGTGGGTTTCATTGGCGTTGAATGTTGAAAAATAGCCAAAAAGCCGGACATTATTTGTTGCGTTTATTCAACATTTCAAATAACCAAGAATAGTAATCGTTACCTAAGGCTTATCCATTAACGGTAATTTTCATCATCAACATACAGTCTGAATTATTTATAACGATTATTTTTTAGAAAAAAATTATACATCATGTCACGATACTTATAGGATAGTGTTAATTAGAATATGGTATAACGCAGGTATGTAGGTCAGTTAAAAGTAGTAAATGTGAGGTGATTCGGAAGGATCTTTCATAAAGTTACTTTGCTTAAAAGGTAAGTAAGTACCGCCACGTCGAGTATATTTTCCTAAATGATTCATTGCAATGTGAATGATAGAATTTAATCAAAATTAAGAACTAAAAGATATGATGTTAGCCATTACAAAGTGACTGATTAAAGTCAACTCCTTAGTTCTCTATAGGAAATCAGCCTTAATCTATCTAAATCAATGGTAGCATTTCCCACAGTAACAATAGACGATACCAGTAAACCTTAGTGACAAGTTCTATGTGGTTAGTTACTGTTTGCCGCCTCAGATTACTTAACACTAAACCATATGAATAAACTTTATCAGTAACCAAATGGATAATTATTAACAATCTTTCATCAACTGCTTAAATTTTCAATTCTTTACACATAATAACTAATCCACTATAAATCAATATTTAGTGTACCAATTACTTGGCTAGGAAACTGTTTAGTTATTTTTATGAAATTTTACTATTGTTTGATAATCTATTTCTCCAGATTTTCACTTTAAAATAATTCAATGTTAAGAATTGTATAGTGTAGTGAAAGATTAATTAGACTGAAAAAAAGTAAATAATTGATATTAAAAACCCAATATTTTATTATTTATTTTTCATATTACACTTACACGGTAGAATATCACTAAAACGATTTAATCGTTTATTTATATTCTTTTGTCCAATTTCTTGACTCAACATATCTGATTGTATTAAAAATTGACTGTTACTGTTTATTAACTAAACAATGAATATAAAAAGAAAATTTATTTTGATGCCAATACATAAATATTCACTAGAATAGCTATAATTCAGAATCGATGCTGAAACATATCCATACCCTGACGACAAATGCTGGTTGTTAACGTAGTAGGTTCAAACAAGGATGAAGGTAGACAAGCTAACACATGATATCAGCTAAAGAAATCCTTGGCTGTTAATTCAAGTTGTGTGGTAGAGATATATATGTAAAAGCTGAGATTTATGAAGTAATCAAAATTAAGCTTCTGAGACCTTAAGTGACTAGTCAAAAAACCATTCACAATCATCTAGGTAGGTTCAGTTGTTGTCTCTTTTTGTAATACGAGCCTATTATTGTCAATTCATTAATTTCTTTCCTCGATGTTGTTAAATTCAAATTCCCACGCCGATCGATACCAGTGGTTCCTTTTTGTTTCTGATTGGCTGGGTCAATTGGATATATTAGTCTAAAACCAAACTATAGGTGGAAGACGTTGACGGCTGCAGAGTATTAGTTGATGTTTGGTCTAATCACCCGAGGGGCACAAGACATGAAAACGATCGAAGTTTGGCTCAATTGTCCGTCAGAGACATCTGTATCTATGAGTCAGCTAATGTGCATAAGTTTTCCAATAAAGCTTCTAATGTTGTCCCTTATCACATAATTAGCTGATTGAGCTCACAAATAGGTAACCTATTGGTCAGTAGCAAAACAGACGACAACCCAACACAGATCTTTATTTTATTGATTTCCTGGAGCTAGATTCATCTGGAAATCTTCAACCTGGACTAATACATATTTGTGATAAGTCCTACGTCATCTATGACTACCGCAATATTGAATAATGATGAATATTATCTTGTAGTATAGATGATGAAAATAAGCTTGATATGTATGTTTACGTGTAAAATGGTCGACTTTGGAATTGTCGAACAAAGAATAGCCATCCTGACTACTTAATGAATTACATTTTGCAATGTTTACATAGTTAGATAAACCACCTTCAGCGTTTCTGTCACAAATAAAGTTGTCGTGTAAAGATTTTGATTGAATTGCAAAAGTCGAAGAATCTTTTAAAACCTAAAAGGTTTGAATAGCATTTCAGTCCTAGTCTTGGATTTCTCAATAATGCACATTCACAACTTCACAGAGCAATCCTATTAAGCCTACTCAAGTCTCTTAGGTAACAGTGTAGCAGTATGCAGTAGGAACCCAATAACGAAAATATCGTCAGTAACCCTTATGAATGACGATGAATATTTCACCTTTTCTCCCTATCTGCTTTGTAGCCTTATACAATAGATTAGTGATTGAACAATTAAATATTAAACACTAAGTGGTAGGTTTAAATAAAACTCGATATATGTTGAGTTAATCGACCGAATAGCAGCACTAACCTTTATTCATTTATCAGTAACCTAAAACTAAGTGAACAAATGTGTATGTGGACAATGAGTTGCATTACTCAAGAAATCAATAATTATTCATTTTCCTTCCACTGATAGAATTTACACTGATTTGTATATTTTTCTCTATTTGAAGATTTGTTCACTATGAACTAGAAACTGGTACTGAATAATTAAAATTTTAAAAAAAACCAATGAAATAATAACAAGAATAATGAAAATTTATGACGTACTTGATATTGTACTTTTAGTGTTGCGAATGAATCTTTTGAATAGTTTTCATATTGTGCCATAAACGTATGGGTTGTAACTGGTGTTGGCCTGCACAAATGGTAGACCAAGAGATAAACAGTATTTCTAAATTACCAGGAGAATTTGGTTTTAATTAACAGAACGAGCTGATAATTATCTTGGAAAGATAACTGGCGAATAAATGGCTGATTGATGAATGATATGCAGTGATACAATACGATCAAGGAATTATTAACTATCTAGTTGGATTTATTAATTTAGTGCAATCACTTATAGTTATCGAACTATTATCAGTTAGTCAGTCGATTATAGAAAATGTAGGACATGGCACAAATGTGTACGGTATAAGTTGCCACTATTCCAATTGGAATGTCGTAAGATGAGGCTAAGAAGAGAGCATTATTTAGGTGTCTTTACCAAGGTTCGAACTAATAACTTCAAATAAATTGAGTGTTGGGTAATTCGTTAATCATAAAAGTAATCTAAGCCACTACTTCAGAAATTTATTTCTCTGAAAAAGTGACTTATACAGAGTCACGGAAATTCGAGAATTTTACTTTTCATTGGGACATTACAAATATATCATTACTATTATCATTATCAACTTTGAGTCTTCGTTTCACCAAGGTGAAACGTCCTTTCAAAGGGTGTTAATTTTCAACATAAAATGATTTTACTTAGGGAACCATTGACATTACAAGGAAGTAAAATAAATCGTTACTATTGATAATAGATGACAGTTATTCTGTATTGCAAATCAAATGAAATGATAATTTGACGACTTAAAAAGTAACTCAATTACTGAAAGACTCCATACTTATCACTAAATCTTAATTTTCAGATTCGATCCAATGTGAAGCGGTGGTTGTAAACTGCCAAATAGTCTTCAACTACAAAGAGACAATAGTCATATGATTTTTAATAGTACTACCGTGGTGTATTCTACTTATGATGACAGATGTAAGTAGTATGTAGTCGCAATCGGAGGACTGAAATGAAGAGAGCTGAAAGGAAATCGGAGAGCTATCGAAATCACAACGGAAGTAGAGGAATAAAGGAGTATGTAAAAGAAAAGTCAAAGATGTGCGAATAATGTATTTAATATGTAGTGACTCACTTTTATCACGAGAACACGATTGGTTTAATGAAAGCAATTATTATTATAACCAATTGTACCAGTGACTGTTTTAATGTGCTTTTGTTTAATTGTGCTAAAAAGCATCAATTATTCTTACACTTTGATTGTGACCTCGCGCGAATTCGGTTACGCTCTGTAACCAAGCTTGTATCCTGGCACGATCTCGGTATTCTTTCGATACCACGAGATCGCCAGCAAATATATCTCGACTTGGTCCATTAACTGCCTTCTGATATTTGGCTTCCCGGGGATTTTATGGATTTCTTTGGCACGTGCTTCTTGGTAGCGGTGTTCATAGTCAATTTCGACTCGACGCCACGATACAACTCGTGAGCCGAATTCTCGAACACGCCGCAACCTCTGATCGAATCTTCCAAAGAAGCCAATTCATTGAGTCTATTATTTATCTATCCACGTCTGTCGTATATTTTCATATTGCCTTTCAATATATAATATACGCGACATGACGGATAACAATAAGAATAATATTAATATAATAGACTCCCATGTACGTGTACTGAATCCTTGTCACTTTTTATTCGCGTGACGGTAAATTCCAAGCATTATTCGAGAAATTTTCCCCTATTAACTATTCTCCTCGCTGACCCGGCTGCTTGGTACGGAACGCATACGCACACGCATAACCGTCTACCACCCAGCACCAAATGGTTAAGTTGAACGGTTTCATTGCCAACTTAAAAGTGCTCTACGAGCACACGAAAACAACAACTGGTACGAAGCCTTACCACTCGTTCTCTTAGGCATCAGAACGAGCTTGAACGCAGATATCCAATGTTCCGCCGCTGAACTTGTATACGGCACGACATTGCGTCTGCCCGGAGAATTCTTCACACCACGGAGCAGACCTGATTTCGGTAAGTCAGACTACGTCCAACGACTGTCTGCATTTGTGCGAACGCTGCCTCCGGTGTCAACTCGAATACAACATCGACAGGTCGCTCTCCCTCGAGAGTTATCTACCTGTTCACATGTTTTCATACGAGTAGATTCGGTACGCAAACCTTGGCAACAATCTTACGAAGGCGCTTTTTACGTGACCGCTCGTCACGAAAAGACCTTCAAGGTTGATCGACATGGCCGCGTCGAGATCGTCGGCATTGATCGTCTCAAACCAGCACATGTCGATGACAGTGCCCTATCTGACAACCTGAGATTCAATGCTAGACCTATCAAACCTACTAGCGGGATCCTTAAATCTTCTTCAGATCCGACGCTAGATACACCTGAGACCTCATTCTCACGTCCCGGTCAACAGTACGCGTCATCTGCACCATCTACGGACGAGACGACAGTCTCACGTCCAGATCAGCAGACCACGCCTCACTTGACTTCGGATGAGATTGCAGGCTCACGCGACGCGAACGAGACTACCGTCTCACGCTCCGGCCGCCGAGTACGGTTACCCGGACGCTTCCGCGATTAACCGCACAGTTAACAACCGATACGGTGTAGGACTATTCCTATGCTACATGCATGCTACGCTCTTCTCTTTTTTGATTTTTTTTTCCTATCCTGAGCCCACGCCTCCGACCATCCCCATCTGGTACCGACGACTTTGGCGAAAGCTGGATTGGCCACCCACGCTCTTGTCAACGCACTCAGTCGATATTCTGGTTCCGAATGTTTGGCATACGCTTGGTCTCGAACTTGGTCGTGATGGTCGCTTCTGGTTTCTCGGCTCAACGTGGTTTCGTCCTACGTCTGCAGCGTTTCTGGTCCGCATCCCTACGAACGCAATCTTCAGATTCTGGAAACAAACCACTCTGGTGTGGTATGCCAACTCGAGTAACAAATACAGCACATCGCTCCTGGTACCGTTCTCCGAACAAGAATTTCGCTGGCAACTCGACGATCAACGATCGCTTTCCTGTTCGCCAATTCTTCCGTCCTACAATCGCTCGTCAGCCGATCAGTCCCACGATTTAAACCGCTATTTATCGAAAGTGTAGACTTTTCCAGCGGGGGGCTCCTGTAGTAACTCACTTTTATCACGAGAACACGATTGGTTTAATGAAAGCAATTATTATTATAACCAATTGTACCAGTGACTGTTTTAATGTGCTTTTGTTTAATTGTGCTAAAAAGCATCAATTATTCTTACACTTTGATTGTGACCTCGCGCGAATTCGGTTACGCTCTGTAACCAAGCTTGTATCCTGGCACGATCTCGGTATTCTTTCGATACCACGAGATCGCCAGCAAATATATCTCGACTTGGTCCATTAACTGCCTTCTGATATTTGGCTTCCCGGGGATTTTATGGATTTCTTTGGCACGTGCTTCTTGGTAGCGGTGTTCATAGTCAATTTCGACTCGACGCCACGCTACAAATATATGATTTTCATATTTTATGAAGGCACTGAGTAATTTTGCATTGAACGGAAAATTGGTTTTCCTCACCAAGCCTTTGTTTAATATAGCAGGATATAATATTTTTCTTGTAAATGTATTATCGATAGATTATATTCTAAAAGTTATCGTTCACAACACCACAACCAATGTCAGTTCAAGATAAAAATTACACTAAAAGTGTACAACTTCAAACTTTATTAATATTAACATAGTTTTATTTAAACCGGAGGTTAGTTTGCTAAAACAAATAAGGTGCTGTCATAAGATAGGAAGTAGTAACTGACACTGTATTTCAAATTTATTCAGAAGATAGATCCGATGTATTAAACAAGTTAGTCATTGATTTTCTTTTTAAGACTTTATATTCTACAATTGCTGATATCCAGGACTTAAGTGACCGGTTTTTGTCATACCAGAAGCTTCTCGAGTGGATGCTACGATGCTGTTTAATTTTGCAAACTGCTTATTTTCTACACAATAGACGGTAGTGGAATCCAGATTATTACCTTCATTTCATTAGAGATACGTCATTTGGATGTACATGTCTTTCAATACTAATTCTCATATTTGAATATAAGACCTGAAGCAATCTATTGAAGTGATAGAGCGTTTTTAATTAGTCTTCCGAGTCACAAAAGGAAAATCAAAGGATTTGTTCAAGACGCCTGACGAGGACTGATGAAGTAAATGTAAATACTAATAGTGAAAAAAAGGAAACATATCTAAGTATTAATCAATATTATACTCGTTGAGTTAGTTGGTTACAACCGTGACTCATTAGCCTAGTGGATAAGTCATTATCGTCTGAAGAGATGGTAATGAGTTTTAAATCTAACTGTGAACATCAATACTAAGATTCAGGTAAATTTTACTGTCCAGTCAAATTGTATAGAAAGCTTGTCCAGGATATAATTAAGAGTTATTAACCTAAAAATTAATGATCATCCTAATTATTACTTTGCTCTTGGTCTAATACATGAAAGAGAAGTAAAAGTGCAAAACATATTCGAAATTCTAAGGAAAAACATACCCGTTATATGAATAGGTTTACAGTCCATTATCAGGACTTCTTGTTTCTATGTTAATGATGCATTACATAAAACACGTTGAAGTTTTATAGACAAATGCTGATCCTTTATCAGCAGTATGATTGACTGAAGTTATTAGTAAATTCTAGCAATGATTATAACTACCAGTTAATATTTGATAAGAAAATGATCCAGCTAGTACATTCAATCCGAAAAAAGTTTAACAGTTTAAGTTATCACGTGATCAGTAACGTCAATATTTTATTGAGTTTATAGATTTAAAACAAATTAGAAAGAGCTGATTGAATTTAAAACTTGAAAGAATATTAAGACATGGTTCGATCTTCTGTAAATATTGATTAACGTACATATATTTATATCCAGCTTACATACTGCGCATATCTTATGAGCTTAACTTCTTTACGATGATCCTGTACTAGCTAAATGATACTCTTTACAAATCATCTGACCGTTATACACCATATATGTAAACCTAAGGTCAAGGTATTTTTAAGATATGAATATATTAAAAAGTAAATCCCCTGAAGTTCCATAACCAAAAAATAGTTGCATATGAACTTCGATAAAGCTTATATTAGTTGTTTAAATTTATAAAACCGTATACTATCATAAACTTCATCAATAAAAAAATAGGAGAAACTATAGTTTTGAACAGTAGCTGGCAATATAATTCAGAACATGGTTTCCCTTCTATTTTGAAATACTTGTTTTTCAATTTGATATGTCCCAGCGAAACTGGGTCTTACAGTAGTACTTACTATTCAAAATATAGTCAGACAGTGTCATAACATTCGTTCAACAAGATCATCTAGAAATAGCGACTTATCGCTCCTATCTTGAATAACCATTAGGAGGCGATAAAACTTCAACTAATAATTATATATAACTTTAAAAGCATGGTTTATTGATTAAACCATGTACCAAGTACAGATTTATGTTATTTTATTTTATTTCAACACATAGATAATGGTACAAAGAGGCACCAAATACATATGCGCCACACATCTCATTTGATATGTGTGAGGGCTGTGATACTGCCTGGGTGCCCAAACCGAAGCAAGTGGTTTTTTTAGGGGGCCACTCCTCGAGCCCTCGACCTGAAGGTCTGATCCACAAGGCAGTGGAGCATCGTAAGGAGATGCAGTCCCATGGAAGCCGGTGACCAAGAATTGGTTCATATGCCATTTGTTCCTTCAGGATCCTGGTGCCCATGTGCACCATTGGTTTGGGATCCGGTTAAAGCGCCGGAAATTCGCTTCTCGTCCTCTCATTTTTGTAAACAACACCTCCGCCACGAGAAGGCAGTGAGTAGGACCTTCCTGGTAGAGGCTATATACACGTGGCCATGTGAGAGCATTTTGAGAGGGAGAGCGGACTCTCCCCACTCTCGGCCGTACCAGGGCATTTGGGAGCTATGTACTCAGCTTTGAGCCACACTAATTGTATAATGTATAGCAATACTACCCGGATGCTGATATCCGAGTAGGTGAACAGAGTTTCTAATCGGGACCTACTAGTTGAAAGTTAAGTGCTTTAAGCAATGAGCTACTATCGCTCTAATTATGTAAAAGTATACAAACTTCTAAAATGTCTATCTGAAACGGTGATAACATTATCTACTTGTAAAGGAGATTTAAAAACTGAATATTAATTTGCATACAATTAGTTCAAAACTATCAATAATGCTTGAATCTCTGCCCACTAGTCTTGTACATAATGAACAGATATAATTGAAAAACGTTAGACAAACAAACTGAAGTGTAGAAATAGTGGACGTTAACCAGTACCTAAATACGTACCCAACTTGAAAATATAATAAATACATATTTCAACCCCTAAATGTTGCCGATAATTGTATCTGTATTTTTTCCAACTATTTATAGATAAAGTATGATGAAGTTAGCGAACCTGAAATGGGATTTGCTTTTGAGATAACGATATCTGTCGAGAATTTTTTTAAAAAGTGAAGCACGAAATAAATTTTGTATCTAGATGATGTATTTGACTTTATCTGTTTTCATTAAACACAAATGGCGTTGCACTAATAATATAAATGAAATATATTGAAAATAAATAAAATCTAGTAGACGCATTATTTAAATGTTGAGACAATATTAATCTTGAAATTTGCGCCTAGATAAACATTTCATTGGTATTTCTTTCTTTTATGAAGAGTAGTTTAATACTTCATTGAGCTACACGTTTTAACCATGATAAATTACTATGAATAGCGAACGACACATGTATACAAATTTATTACCGAATTTGATGTAGTACAATAGGATTACCACATGACATTGGATTTAGCGTTGGGTCTAACATTTTCAATAACAGCTCACATAATTTAAATCAATAATTATCATCAGTTTTTCTGATGTTTGCATAATCCATACTGACAATTATCACGTGCTCACTAGTGGCCAGCTTCGAGAGGAAATTTACGGAGTCCCAGTGAGAAGCTATGATCAATGGAGCTAAGCGGTGTAGAGTGTAAGGAATAAAATGGAAGATGGTAGCGCAATATAGTGGATTGAGTGAAGTTAGATTTTTACAGCATGAGATCGCAGTCTGATGGTCTAGAACCTGAGGATTCGCGTACGAGGATGAAGGCCCTGGTTCGATCCCAGGTTATAGGGTGATAAACGCGCATTGTTGAGGGTATCATACTAGGAAGAAATGGTCATCCATTCGTTTCAGGCTTTCAATAGCTGTCTAACTTTGATCGTTTCACGATTTCAATAAAATTCAACCATTTCTATAACCCATACTGTGAACTATGTTTACCGGTTAAAAACACAAAAATATTACGATCAAAGAATTATGGTATAAATTTGCTTACCATTTCATAGATGTACATAAATTTGGAAGGTGGGTTCTGAGCAGAAATAGTACAAACAAAAAATTGTCAATAACAAGACATATTAATTAACAACATGAGTTTTTCCTATCAATATAATCAGTGATGGTGATATGTAAAAATTTAATTCTCAACCAACAATAAAATTATTTACCAATGACGTATTATCTTTTTTATTTAGTAGTAAGTAATGTATGGTGAAGTAAATAAAAAATTATATTATTCATCAAATTAGACACCAGCGAAACCGTTTTCTACGATATCATTTTCTTAGGCTGCTCAATCGTATTCCGAGATACTTTTTATACGTAGTATTTAATAGTAAAATAGAGGAGTGTTCCATATATATAAAAAATAATCGAACTTCAGTAAGGGGTTGCAGAGACTGATGAATTTCACTGAAACCATGAAACGATCTAATTTAGACCACCACTGAAAACCTGGAAGCACTGGACAGCCATTTGGTCCTAGTTTGGGGATCCTCAGCAGTGCACATTCACGATTCCGCATGGGAGACTCCAGCCCAGAGTGTCCACTAAATTTCATCCAAACCACCATCACTTGTTTATTCTGAGTACATTATTGAGGACAGAGAATGAGATTGAAGTTCTCCTTTTATCAAGCGGCATTCAGCTGTGTAAGTTCGTATACTACCGTTTAACTATCTTCGAAATTTTTTGAAACATTTTATAAACAGGATGTACTAGACGGCTCAGTGGTCTAAAGGTTAGGCGTTCACACTCGCTACAATATGTCTAGGGTCCGATCAACGGTGGTTCGTGGATGCACATTACTCAGAAGGTCGAAATTAGGATAAAACTGTCATCCAGTTCTAGAACTAATCTCCATAAAAGCCCTATATTAATAAGAATAATATTTATCGAATGGCAGAGGATTAATTAAAGTACAAGTTCATATAGGTAAGTAACAGTCCTTGTAATACCAACGTAATACTAAGTTGCAAATTAATGGATGTGCGATTTAAATATGGAGTCATATTAGAACCTGACAGAAAGAATTTGATTATCTTTCAACATCACATAGAAAGACCATAGTAATTGCCCAGTGATTATTAAAAGTTGAGACCATAATTTTCGAACGACATACAAGCGACGCTCAAATTACCATGAGGTGTCCAACTACTTATTAGACCTAGAAAAAGGTTACATATCACTGTGAGGAATTGTACGACTGATGGCTAGGGTTCGAAATTAGATTAAACGTATTCATCACGAACTGGCATCCACTAAAATACCAAAATACCATTTGACCAAATGGATGAATAAAGTTCACGAAAAAATCGACCCATTATCTTAAATCTGATGGTTTGGCCATAAATCATAATCTCGCCTAATTAACCAAAAAAATCTTAGCTTTACGAGATTAGCTGCACCCTGAATACTTTCGTAAAAATGTCTTTGACTATGATGTTGAGCGATAGTGATACTTATTCCATGGTAACACACTTACTTGGGTACCGTGGATGCGATTGAAATCGCATCCAGCACTTTCTGTCTATTACTTCTAGTCACCGAATCTATAACAACTGCTTTGACGTGACTGAGCACGTCCAAGTATTAAGTATTTCTGATCTCATCTTAAAATGCAACGCAGAATTTATCAGCTCAATGTAAACTGATTGTTTGAGTGTTTCCAAATTACTTAAATGAATAACAATCTATCACTCATGAGTAGTACATCTGACATTAATAAACCATATATTCAATATTTTATTAGTAGAGATGGTTTAACTAAAGATACACCAACAATATAAAAATTATTATCCTGTACATTAGCTATTAAGGTTGTATAATTATCACTTTATTGAATCAATATACTGAGTATTATATGCATACATTTTAGAATTCCACACTGCATATGATGAATAGATTAGATATATCTTAACTCAAATTACAAAATAATTAAACTGACCAAAGAGGACAATTGATAATAATCATCGTATTAAATTTAAACAGCTACACCCAGTGTTCGCTTTGATGGTTTATGTAGAAAATTTTATCATAAAAATAGTTTTTGTTACAGACTAGAATTAACTGTGGCATTAATGAGAAACACAGACCACTGGTTATTTTGCTTTGGCTAGGGACTGCTAAACAATGTGAATTTACCAACCTACAGATTTTCTGATTTCGTAGTGCGTATGATACTCTAAGGCGACGTTATAACGATTCAATGGTCCAGTTTTTAATTCAGTGCAGAGTTGTGAATACAAGCTAGAATGGAACATCTATCTGATGTATTCTGGTTCTCATTAATGCTTCAAGTGACGCCCATCTTCTATCTTTGAATCGAAAATATTTTCGGAAAATGCAGAAATATAGCTATGAAATGATTATTTTTCTTTCGTTTATTTAAGAAAAATTAACAAAACTAACCGATTCATTATCTTCTGTGAATAAATATCTTCATTAATTATTGATTTATTATTGATTTTTCCCCTTGCAATATTATTATAAATATCATTATTCTTGGGGATAGTGCTTCTTTCAATAAGACGATAATATAATAAACCGAATGAGGATATAGCCAATATGAACAATGACCACAAGATACAACATGTGATCAAAATGATAGTAGCTAATAAGTAATACCATACATTTGAAATGGAAAAAAAGTTTATCAGGAAATAGATCAATAGTTAAAGTTTAACTATATAGTACCAAATAATTCTTTTTAATATAATGAACAATAAACCATACCACTGATTCTGTATCAACGATGGGAATGGTTTTTGTAGCTTAATAGTATTGTCAGAGACATTTAAGTTAAATAATTGTTACAATTAAGGCAATATGAATCTAGTTGCGTTACTAATAAGTTTTCAATTGATCACACTTTTGAACATCAAACACAACATGTTGTGACATGTGTTGATGAAATAACTGGTGGAAAGATTAATTAACGAGCTTATACAACATGTACACACTATTATATCTGTTGTCTTATTTGTTTCACTATGTTATATAAAATATATTCAAGACTATTTAAGTAGCTGTATGGTAATAAGATTGAAAAAGTAGATTATTGAAAATGGTTTTGATTGTGACAATTGGGTGATCAAGGTCTGATCTCCAAGATACGCATAACCTTTCTTACGATTGAGGATAAATTTTACTTACGAATGCCAAATGTCGTAAAAAGCTGATAAATGTGTCTGTCTGTTTTCTGCTTACTTCGCCAACATATTTCAATCAATATATTTTACAGTGTAACAACGAATTAACGTACTTATAAAGTGATTATTTTATTACTGATATACAAACGTACTGTCAGACAGTGTACGTCCATGAATTATTTTCGACGTGGTATATCCATATTCCGTGTAAGTACGTAATTGTATACTAACAAAAGAAAAGAAAACAATTAAATATGCATGAGTCGTATACAAACTATTGATGATAGGCAAGAAGCAAAGGACAGTTTATTTCTCTTGATTTAGGACCTCTTAACAAAATTTATTGATAAGTACACAAGAAATTGAACAAAATGCCATCAAATACGTAAGTAAGCGAACAAATAAAAATCATAATTTCGTCAATACAAAGGATTGAATTATCTGGCTACCTATCAAAATTGAATTGTTGTTTATGAAATGTAGTTTAGTTGTGGACATGGTCCTCCTGTGTTGTTTGCCTAGACGAAGAAAGAGTTGACAGATGATGTCAAATAGATTTTAAACTTTTGCTGAAATTATGAGAAATACTACCCATACACAAATTTTTGATATGGACTGTGCTCACGCAGAAATATCAATACTGAATATCACCTCAAGTTTGAAAATTTAACATAACAAGGCCAGGAATTCAAGAACGACTTCTTGTTACAGGGAACATTATTTGATTAGTTGTCCACGAGCTCAGATATTATTACACTTGTTTATAGACGGGACATGCCAAAGTCTTGATACACACAGGAGGTTCCTTTGCGAAATAACAGTCAATTAAACTGCAACCATAATTCATAATAAAGTTAAACGACTTTACTTGTGATGTTAGGAATTATATTCAGTAAACTATTCGCTGGACGTTGACTGTTTTTCTTTATATTTGCAGCAATACGGAGAGATAGACCTGTATAGCTGATGGGAATAGGCGCTTGTAATATTTTAATCTCCAATACTTTTGGGTTTCGTAATGCAAGTGTGTAATGCAATCCTTTTGCAGTCAACCGCATGTTTACGGGGCTCTTCTTTGGGATCAAATCTCTCGCGTATCAAATTCCCTTACATGACAAGTTTCCACCTCTTCCACGGCTTCTCCATCAAGTATGATTTCGTTGGTGCTCACTGTGTTGTATTTCGGAGTCTCGCATGTTCCCTTGCGTATGTTGAGGCCTGCTGATGCACAGACTTCTGCTACACTGGTTGTCTTGACCTGCATTTATTCGCGTGAATGGGATAGAAAAGCCAGGTCATTTGCAAAGTCGAGATTGTCTAGTTGCATCCAAGCTATTCATTGTATTCCCTGCCTTCCCTCAGATGCCGAGGTTTTCATAATCCAGTCGACCACCAGAAGAAAGAGGGAGAGTAAGCAGCCTTGTCTGACTGCGGTCCTCACTTGGAATGCGCTTGTCAGCTGTCTTCCATGCACGACTTTGCCGTTAGGTCTGTCGTATAAATTTCGGATGATGTCGACTATCTTCTCAGGTACACCATAGTCTCGAACAAGTTTCTATAAGGTTCTCCTATCCACACTGTTAAACGCCTTCTCATAGTCCATGAAGTTGACGTATAGTGACGAGTTCCACTGAATTGATTGTTCAACGATGATCCTTAGTGTCGCGATTTGGTCTGTGCACGACCAGCCCTTACGGAATCCAACCTGTGGATCTCGAAGTTGGGTGTCTACTGAATCGTTCATCCAGTTCAGTAACACTCTGTCGGAAACGTTTCCTGGTACCGACAGTAGTGTGATGCATCTGTAGTTTCCATATTTGTTCAGATCTCCTTTCTTTTCTTCCTTGATGAGATATTCTTCTTTCCAGTCTATCAGCACTTGTTCCTCCCCCCAAAGTCTTCCTGAATAGAATGTGGGGCATCTTTGCAGTTGCTTCTGTCTGAATTCAGTGCTTCAGCTGGTATGTTATCAGGTTCTGCTGCTTTCCCACTCTCGATTTGTATGATGGTCATCCTGATTCTTTCGATCGTTGGTGGAGTGACATTGATAGGAATGTCTGTAGGTGCTGCTTTGATGTCCGGTAGATCCAATGGAACTAACCTATTCAAGAGTTCCTCAGTGTTCTACCCATCTGTTTCTGTGTTCTTGAATCTCACTGATTGTCTTGATTTCTTCGTCTTTGACTGGTCTCTATGGTTTACTATATTTCCGTGCCAGTTTCTTCGTTATATCATATGGCTGTCTGATATTTCCATGTCTTGCGGCTTTTTTCGTTATCCTTGCTAGGTTTTCCACGTATTTCTGCTTGTCAGCTCGAATTTACTTCTTCACTTGCTTGTTTGCTTCTGCATGGGCCTCGACTTTCTCTGCTCGCAAACGACTATTGTTAGTTGCTGCCTTCTTGAATCTTATCCAAGGTTTCCATAGAGATCTATTCCTTATCAAAATAGTTCTTGCGACCCAGAACCTTCTGACATGTTGAAGTTAGTCCTACGATTTTCCACATTATTATTTTTTCTATATATGACTGTAAATGGTTGAAACGAAGACGAAAGGTATACTTCAAGTTATCAAAATACTACTTGCGACCCAGAATCTCCTGACATGTTTAAGTTATTGCTCCTTTCATACCTTCCCAATTGTCCATTACTGTAGTTTCTTCTTCCTTCAGTAGATCCTGTTGTTGAGGACTAACCTGAATTCGATGAGTTTGTCAGTATCTCGTAGGAAGGTTGTGTTGAAACTTTCTACTGCTGTTCCTTCAGTTGATAGTTCTTCTTTAATTCCAGTTCCATCTTGGCAACCACCAGGTAGTGATCGGAAGCTATGTCGGTTCCTCTCCTGGTCATCAAGTCTTCCATAAATACAAATGTGATCGATCTGATTCTCTGTGGTGTGATCCGGTAAGACCCATGTAGCTTTATGAGAGAATATTGTACCACCTACAACCAATTTATTGAATGCACATGGGTTTGGAAATCTCCCACCATTCTCGCTTCGCTCTCCTAGTCCATGTCATCCCATTGTATATTCGTATCCCATGTTTTCCATTCCGAATTCGGCGTTCAGGTCTCCATTCAGGATGGTCAGATATTTTGCTGGGCACTTCGCTATGATCGATTGCAGCCTCTCATAGAACTGTCCTTTATCGTCGTCGTTGTTATGATTGGTTGATGCATAAAATTGGATAACATTCCTTGTGATTCCTTTCTTCTTTGTTTTGAATGATGTTTCGATGATCCTGGATCCGTGAAATATCCATCCTATAAGTGCTATACGTGCCTCTTTGGACAGGATCAGAGCAACTGCCTTAGTGTGTAGAGGATTTTTTCTTCGTGATCGGAGTACATTAGCCTCTCTCCCGTATCTAGCTTTCGCTGTCCAGCTTGGTTCCGATAGTTTTCACTGATTACGAGAAACCCCAAGTTGCATCTCCTCATATCTATTGCTGTTAGACTGGTCCTCCCGGTCTTCCACATTGTCGGAACATTCCGTGTACCTATATTAATTGTTGCTCTGGTTGTTAGAAGTGTGATCGGCCTCGTGACTTCCGAAGAATATCGGCTTTCATCATGAGGGTTCATAATTCTTCTGAATGAAGATCCTTCAACTCCCACGGTAGAGTTTAAATTGTTTATTATGGTTGGTGTTTTTTAGCTAGGATGTTTACTACGAGATGGGGTTGCTGACCCTATTCCCAACCCTCTTCATTTACCTGGGTTTGCGATCGGCAGTAACTATAGAAGAGCTACAGGCGGAGTTATTAGTTGAGAAGTTGGAGTTTCATTAAGGTTAACCCCAATAATAAATAAGAGATGTCTTTTCGGTAAATTCATTTTCAAAGCTGTACAATCACAAAAATATATACTTATTTTTCAGGATAACAATAATTATTGTGATAATGACAATAAACTTATTTTAGAAATGGTACCAGTGAGGTAGAAAAAAAGATAATAAAAAACTTTTCAATCATTCTTCAGTATCCTTAACAAATGTACAATTAGAAGAATTATCTTTGGAGATGAAATTCTGTAACATAAATGAAAAAAAAACCATTAAAATTCACACACATTTTCAATTTGAAAATAAAACAAACAAATGGTGTTAATCCAGTCTGTGACCGAGAATTCCAACGTTTCAAATCTACTCTTCTCGATAGCTGCAACTGGTAAATGAACACGAAAGCAACAGGTAAGTCTTCTAACAAAAGAACAATTAAAACTATTTAGAAACAATAAAAACTTGATTATAACACTTCCAGATGAAGGTGCAGGTTTATTGCAATTAGACCACAAGATTTATTTCGACAAATGACCAAGTTATTATCAGATGACACCAAATAACCCAAATCAATTAATGAAAAGAACAAGACTGAAATAATAGAAAATAAACTGATAGAAGTTCTTAGGAGAATGAAAAATGATCAGTCAGTCAACGAACATATATTCGAGTGCATACAATCAGCAGGATCAATAATACCACGACTATATGGTTCGCCTAAATATCAACCTCTCCGACCAATTCTTGTTATGTCTGGATCCCCTTACCACTCTATATCAAAGTGGCTGGCAGATCTCCTAGAACCTGCAAGAAATCGCATTTGTAGACACTCCATACACGATACTTTTTAATTAATTGAACACACAAAAGAAGTGAATGTAAATGACAAAATAATGCTATGTCTGGATGTCGAATCACTTTTTACAAATGTTCCACTCACAGAGACCATCAATTTTATCTGCAGTTACATAAATAATGAGATTAATATCGGAATACCGGAAGTTTATTTGAGGAACTACCACTACGTTAGATTTGCAATGCACAAGTTACAGTCAACAACGTAATTCATAGACAAATGGATGACATAGCAATAGGATCTCCTCTTGGTCCATTACTAGCAGATTGCTTCATAGCCAGTCTAGAAAACAACCAACATAAAACGACCATCAAAAACTTACACTTATGTAAAGGGTACGTAAATGCTATTTTTATCATTTGTGACAACAAACATGATTTCAGTCATCTTCTTAAGACATTTCATAACTATCTTCCAGCGATTAATTTCACACTTGAAGTTGAAAACAAACCAAATATTCACTTCCTTGATACAGAAATGACAAGAAAACAAGACGAAATTCTAAAAAGATCAATCTACAGGAAACCCATGTGAAATGGTCATGTTTCCACATCTGAGTCCCCATTAACCTTATGACAAAAATCGCTAC